ATCTGCTCCAGCTTTTATGAGCCGCCCGAGGCCAGTGTGGTGTTCACATAATCACATTAACGAGCACTAACATATTGTTACAATTAAGTAGTCCAGGACCCTGTTGTCAAAAAGTAACTAATCCATATTTAAGATCTCTATTAAAAAGCAAGTTTTCAAACCAGGATTAACTATTCACCATTTAGACCTTATTTGAGTTTGATTTAAACCCTGAAACTGCCCATAAACGTCTGTAGCTGTTATTTACTCATGTTTATTCCTCACTTAATGGAATAACTTGCTGCAGGTTAGAGCTTTATTGAACGCTCATGCTCTTTTTCAACTGACACCAGCTTCATATTTCCGCAGGTGCACAACTTAGGTAGCGATGGTCCCATGTTGGCCACTGAGCAGATGGAGGGCGTGACCTCACGAACCCCATCTCGCACCAGTACTCACGTTGGCACTCGCTGAAGGAAGAAAACAAGCAGGGCCCAGGCCTGGAGATGTGTAGCAGCCGCAAGCCAAATTTTTCCAGGTCTGGACAAATGCTGCTCACTGAGGCCAACGATCTGATGAAGAAAGTCCAACTGTGTGTTTAGTGTCGCCCACAGCACTTATGTTGTCCCACACACATGGCCTGTTTACCCACTGTAGCTTTAAATTACTAATATACTGTCTCATGAAATCATTCCCCCCCACCCCACCCACCCACGCACTCACCCACGCACTCACAAACTCACTCACTCACACACTCACACACTCACACACTCACACACACAGACACACACACACACACACACACACACACAAACTTGTTGGTATAGGTCACCTTCGGGATAGAGTGACATATATTTTGTGGAGCCCTAACCCTAACCACCCTAACAAGCTGGTTTTGTATCCCCAAACACACACACGCACACTACACACACACATGCACAAACACATAAATAGGCTGCAGGTTGGATTTAAGGAATGCTTATCTTAGAATAAGGACTGGGCCATGAGACGTTAACTATGTTGTACCANACACACACACACACACACACACACACACACACACACACACACACACACACACACACACACACACACACAGTAATGAAACCTTTTAAACTAATCATTAGAAGCTGTTAAAAAGATATTTTTCAGTTTATAAAATATTCAGAAGTCTCACCTATATTGCAATTCTTTCACATTTTCTAGACAAACGCTTGTTGTAGATGAAAGGTTTTAATGACGCTGAATCTAGCTGTCTGAATATATGAATATAATGTGTTCCAGAGAACATTCTGCTGTCAGTCAAATTTAACATTTCATGACTTGGGCAGCGGGTCATGGTGGAGTTTTGCATCATTACTCCATCCCAATCACTGCTGTCCGTCAGTGGCAGTTAATCAGCGTTACCTCGCCGATGACCTGACTGGATGAACACAGGACTGTCTGTCCTGACTTTCAAACTGACAAAACATGGAGCTGCTCTGGAAAAGAATTCAACTTCTTTCTTTATTTCATCATCAGCTTCAGTTTCTCTTTTTCCTGCAGCACCACCTGAATCAGGTTGAATAGTTTGATGTGCCAGATTCAAGTTGCAGCTAATAAACAACAAGAATAGCTCTGCGGTTGTATTTATTTAGATATGCTTCAAGCTAAATATTCAGCTGCTAGCATGCAGATGTTCAAATAGTCAAAGGTTTTATTGTCACATGCAGAAATAACAAGATAACAATGCAATTAAATACTTATTTTCCAATGTCTCTACCTGGTGTCGTAAATTTAAAGAAATGTGAAATAAATGCACATTCATGTCCACTTATCAAACACACCCCACACAGACACCCATACATACTGATGAAGACAGTTATAACAGTGGCTAATGCAGGCATGTGTGCTGAGTGATGCTCACCATTTCAACATGAGCACGTAAGCACAATCATGCAGCAGAGGATGATGGGAAATCCACAAGTTTTGCAAGTATTTGGCCTTAAAGCAAGATGGCTACAGAGCAGTTGAACGCTGGAGCAGATGACAGCACTGGATGAAAGGATCACAACAGTTATTACAATTCATCCTGAGGGGACATGAATGTCTGTACCAACTGTCAAAGCAATTTTTTTAATAACTACTGAGGAAATCAAGCAACAATAGATGCAGACAAAAAAATGAATTAGCCCTGGGTCAAATGGTTTTGCTTTTTCCTCCCTTGGTTGGATTATCAGACACTCATCTGCTGGGAACAGGGAAAAGTCCCACCTCTTACATGCTGTCACATCGCAAATTTCCCAGTTGTGGGACGAATAAAGGATTATCTTATCTTATCAACTCAGCAATTTCCACATTTTATTTTTGTGGGAATTAATTTTAATTGAACTGTAATTTTAGGCTCATCAATCAATGCAAAAATCAGAAAGTGGAAATTCTTATTTACAAATGTATTCAGACTCTTTGCAGTTCCAATCCAAAATGTTGTTGGTCACATCACGTTTGCTTATCACCTTTGAGCTGTGTCCTGAGTCCACCTGCAGCAAACTGAATTGATTGGCCACAAGTATTAACAGGCACACACCTCTATAAATACAATCCACACTGCATGTCACAACAAACACCAAGACATGAAATTCAAGGAGCTCTCCAATTTAACATTGTGGTGAGGTCGGCATGGAGATAAAGGTATACAAGCATTTCTAAAGCTTTGAGTGTTTCCAAGAGCACAGTGGCCTCAACACTTGAACTGAACAACACTGGAAAAAGTTTGGAACCACCAGGAGTCTTCTTAAAGTTGCCTGTCAGGTCAAACTCAGTAAATGGGCCAAAAGGGGGTTGGTCAGTTACACAGCAGTCACTGTAACAGGGCTTCAGACGCCCTCTGCATTGACTGGAGAACCTGCAGGAAGGACAGTCATCTCAGCAGCGCTCCATCAATCAGAGCTCTGTGGTCGCGCTGCTGGACAGAAGCCACACTGAGTAAAAGACGGGTGACGGGAGTTTTCCTGACACATCTGAAAGGATTTTGAGCAAATGAAGTGAAAAGATTCTCTGGTGTAATGAAACAAAACTTTTTGAGGTAGAACTCTAAACATTGTATCTGGCAAACACCAGGTACTACACCACTTGGCTAATATCATTCCTACTATAAAGGCATGGTGGCAGCATCATGGTAAAGGCAGTGATAATCAGCTGCAGGGGCAGAGAGAGTGACCAGGATTGAGGGAAAGATGAATGCAGCCAAAAATAGAGAGATCCATGAAGAAATCATGCTCCAGAGTGCATGTGAGCTGACAATGTCTCTTTGTAGTCATGTTTTTCTGTTGTCATTCTGTGGCTCTGGATGGTTGTTCTCTATTTTTTCTCTCAGAGAAATATTCTAGGTGAAGCTCTGGGGTCCTGATACCTGGGACCTCTGGGTCTGTGCCAGGTGTGCCTGTTCAAACCACTGATTGGAAATAAAGATGGACAACATGACGGTTTACCAAAAGTGAAGCCAAAGCGTGTTGATTGCCACCTGGCAACTGGCTGCAGTATAGCTCCTAAATCCTGCCTCCTCCATGTGAGTGGATGGGACATGCCCCTGTCGTTTTTCTGATCAAACTGATATATGTCCAAGTGCTCATTTTTCCAATAAGTTTGCTTTTAACTTGTTATTTTATGCAATAATATTGGGGTGAAACATCAGGATTGGCAGCTGAGACTGACTCGCATTTGGGCATGTTTGGGTTTTTACAGGAACTCGCTATCACAGCTCCATCCCTCTGATCACTGCTGCACAGACTCTGACTCCAAATGCTGTGGCGTCTGTATCCAAGTGAGCATGGCTTCATCACTGGATAGTTGGAAGAAGTGGAGTCGTGTCATCTATCTTTATGTTCAGTATAAGGTTGTAACACATTGGACTTACTGTTCAAGTCTGACAGATGTTTTGCCACTCCACATGTTTTTGAACTATGACACACTTGTTTCTGTCTCTAGGGACGAGGGGTTCATGGTGGAATTGTCTTTTGCTGTCAGTACCTGGTGAGCTTAAAGACCTCTTTGAAGCAAGTCTCTTTGAAGCAAATCTACTGTGCAGGTTTTCTGTCTGGACCAGTTACATAAGTCATAAAGGGCATTCTTTATGAAGACTAGTGTGAAAAGCTTGAATACATTGTCTGTGACCTGATCAGATCCCAGCAGAGCCCCCTCTGCACAGCTGCTTCATTCTCTGGACCAACACAGTCCTTTAAAGACACTCCTAGTGATTTCAGATCAAAGCTGCAAAGAAAATCATATTTTTGGTGTGAGCATTATGCAGCAGCCTCAAGGGCATAAACATCACTGAAAACGTTATCGCAATGATGGCTCAACGTTTTAATAAGTGGAAGCTAATCATTATTTGGAGAAAACAAAAACGGGGCTTCTTTGATAGCTCACAGAAAATGTGCGTTTTACAATGCTAAAGAGAACTGTGTTAAAGTGACAACAACATGTGAAACATGTCACATTTGTTTCCATTTTATCTTTCCAGCATTTTTTGGAAAGTTCCCTTAAAAAGATACTATTCAGTCTTTGTTCTTTGTTGTCTGTGTATTTATCACACAACAGAATGGATATTACTTGTTTTGCTCTTACTTAAATGTTTCTGTTATCCCTTTCTCTTTGGATTACTTTTTAATGATGTTGGATCATTTTATCTTTTTTCATGATTTTAGACTTTGCACTGTATTATTCGTTGTGTTTGATTTTATGTCATATCATTTGCCATATTTGGATTTAAATGCCTTTGCATTATTATTATTATTATTATTAAAAAGTTATTAATACTTAATAAAGTCTAAAACAGCAGATGTAAATATGGCTGACTTATCCAACAACAGGGTTCTGATAAACTCCGCTCTCCTAATTGTAAAGAGATAGTGCAGATGTACACATGGCTCCTTCCTCAGCTTTTCCTGGGGGCCCCGTACTTTTCTCATTATGACACAGCAAACTATATTTGAAGGGAGGGAACTGGTGTCCGCTGAGGCGCACAGTGTTTGGTAAAGCGCGCAGCAGAGGCGCACGGTGAATAGTCAGCTGTAGTTTAGTTCCAGAGAGATTTTTCCAATAGACTGTCACTGCTCGTGCACAGTTAGATTTAATTACAGCCCGTATACTACTTGTTTTAAAACACCTCTCTGAGGGGAGACCGCACTGAGAAGAACTCCAGGAAGAAAGACGCGCTCCTGCGCTCTTGGAGAGTGCGTGAATTTGCTGCCTGAAACTTTTGGAGAGCGTCCGCTTCAAATCCATCCACCCAGGGAGCTGATTTCTGAGAGGAGCCGAAGATGGGCGACACGGGCACATTCTGCAACCAAACAGCCAACCTGACAGACCCGGCGTGTCTGAACTCAACCCGCCCGTCGTACAGCCACATAGACATCACCACGTTCATGCACATATTCCCCACCATCTACGGCATCCTGTGCTCGGTTGGAGTTATTGCCAACGGACTGGTCATCTACGCGGTGGCGGCATGCAAAAAGAAAATGGTCTCCGACATCTACGTGCTGAACTTGGCCATAGCGGACATGCTCTTCCTGCTGGTGATGCCCTTCAACATCCACCAGCTGGTCAGAGACAGACAGTGGGTGTTCGGGAACTTTATGTGCAAAGCGGTGGTGGTGGTGGACGTGAGCAACCAGTTCACCACAGTAGGGATTGTTACTGTGCTGTGCATTGACCGGTAAGTCCATCAACACATGCAGATCAGATGCGTGCACAGTCAGTCAGTAGTTATTCTTATAGAAGGTGGTGAAAAATAACAATGTTTATGTGCAAATCCATTTTAAAAGGCTTATGATACTACTACTACTAATACTAACAACAACAAAAGCAATTATAATAATTATAATAATAATTATAGATAATAATAAACATATTCCCTGTTGCCATAATAGTGAAAAAGTCGATAGTGTTAACAGGTTATCTCAGATGATCACCCATGAAGAACCCATGAAGACAGGATGTCCCGTGCAAACCAGCAATGCGTCATGTTTATGATCTGAACAGATTTGTATAGATGATAAACTAAAATAACAATTCATAAAACAGCCCGACATCCATTCCAGTGGGTTTGGGGTCCTATCGCACGTGCTCATTTTGTGCAGGAGAGGAAAAAAAGAAAGACAAATAAATGTGTGTGTGCTGATCTACAGGGCTTGCCATAATTCCTGGCATCTTATGGGAGCCAGCAAACTAATTTAATGAGGCAAGATCTGAAGGATGTAAGAGATTTTTTTCGAAAAGAAGAAGGGATGAAGGCAACAAGTAGCAGGAGAGGAAGAGGAGGAGGAAGAAAAGTTATACCTCCTGTTGCTGCAGCAGCAGATGGGTCTGGAGCTCAGGTTGATGAAGAAGAGGGGATCTTCATCTGGAGAGTCCGATTCAGTGGTTCTCAAACACCTTTTACATATTGTTGTGGTAAATCATCACAAATATAGGTCTGATCTCATGGCAGCACCAGTGAGTGATGGATTTGGTCACATCTCAATTAGGCATATACACAGATGCCCCGATTATTTTCTTGGAACACATTATGTACGATATTCCCCTCATAACTAAAAATGTGCAGTTATTTGTAGATAAGCCATCTCAGCTGCCCCCGCTGTTTCCAGATCTTTGCAGCGCCTCCGACGCAGCATCCTGCATAATCAGAATCACATTTTCTTCTTGTTTCTTGCAGTCACAAAAAATGTATCTCTAATATTACTAAGTTTTACGTTTTATAACCACTCTGTGGTGCCAACAAAGTGTTGCTTTAATCGAAACAGAAAAAAGGTGTGCACGCTTTATCTCAGTGTGATTTCATTTCATGGCAGTTTTATGGATCAAAATCACAGCAGAGGTAAATCAAAGAATAACACATTTTGTGAATATCTTTACACGTTAGTAAGGGAGATAGTATAAAGTGTTTCTATGTTTTTTTTAGGCAGCTGCAAGTGCTCACAAGAAACATGTAGACTAGAAACATACTTTCAGTACAGTAGCGGAATCTATGAGATAGATTAATAATCAAGAAGGAATCAGTAATATGAACTAATCGTATGGTTCATACAGCTGATTTTCTGTATAAGCCTAAAGGACGTGCGTGTAGCGTAGAGTTCTCCTGCCCGTGTAGTGTAAATGTGAATTTTTGATCATATCAATATCCAACTTGGCTGACGTGTGGGGGAACACAACAGTGGGTCAGAGGCCGAATATGGATCTGCACTCATTGATTCTACTGTCAGACTAAAAGTACATTTATTGAACGTCAGCTTGGAACAGTAGTGTCTGTTCATGAACATAAAGTCAAAACTATAATGGGCTGAGATAATCACCGTTTAGCAGGATGTCCGGGAGAACATCGCAAGAATGTCAACATCTTAATGGTTCGCTCTTGCATCTTAGATCTCGGCAGAGGGGTCAGGAACACACACATGCAGTAACTTGTAAAACAGCGGTGAAGAATATGTCATTCGCTCCACTTTAGTGACAATTAAGTTATGTAAGTAATAACATAGTGGTTATTCATTTCCTGCGAATGTCCTAAAGCCTGAGATCAATTGGGACTAAACTAGCTGAGCTGCTCCTACAATTGAAAAACAACCAAATGGAAATGTGTTCATTTGTGTTCACCTCCTCTTAGTCTCCCTGTCCAGATAACACTCATTTATCTCTGCATTCATCACTTTGCGGAGCATGTAATATATTTAGAATGTATCTTTGATGTGGTATTTAGTTTCATCATCCCTCGTCAATGATGAAAATGACCTCTTAACATTCACTTTAGCAAAGTTGCTTTTATCGTCTGAGTGTTGAGTCTGCAGTCTGACTCTAAACGGTGACTTCTTCTTTCTAGGTACATAGCCATAGTCCACCCCACCTCGGAGAAAAGGACCATCCACTGGACCATCATGATCAACATACTAGTGTGGTTGGGCAGCTTCCTCCTCACCGTCCCCGTCATGATGTACGCCAAGGTTGAGCGCAGGCAGCGTTTGGAGGTCTGCATGATGAACCTGGATGGGCCTGAGGACATGTACTGGTACACTTTCTACCAGTCCATCCTTGGCTACATCATCCCCCTCATCATCATCAGCACCTTTTACTCGCTCACCCTCTACCACGTCTTCAGCTCCATCCGCCGGGTAAAACGCAAGCAGTCCGTCTGGGCTAAAAGAGCCACCAAGATGGTGCTGATGGTCATCGCATTGTTCCTGATCTGCTGGTCACCCTACCACGTCATCCAGGTGATCAACCTGAGCAACAACACGCCGACCATCACCTTCGTCTATGCCTACCACATCAGCATCTGTCTCAGCTACTCTCACAGCTGCATCAACCCACTCATGCTGCTCATCTTCGCCCAGAACTATCGCGACCGCCTTTGCCGCAGAAATATGCTTAACAGTTCCCAGCATTCATCCAAGCTCACAGTCGTCAAAACAGATGGTTCCAGTATAACCAATAACCCCAACTACCGCTGTACTGTCGTATAATCGCAAAGTGTGTGTCCTTTTGTAGATACACATGTAAATGTTCTGCTGCTCACCTCGAAAGGAAGTAGCTCGATGAATGGTGTTGTCCGTGAAATAACATTCCCCAGCATTTTCATAACTGGAAATGGATACTGTACAATTGAACCTGGGTATAAAGCATGAGCAGCAATTTCAGCCATGACTGAAATAGGTGAAATACAGGTCATATCAAAGGTTTTCAACAGAGAGTGCAAGAAAAAGATCTGCAGAGGAGAGCAAGCCGGCTAAAAAGAAAAAAAAAAAGGAATGTGACGGTCTCTGAGCCAGGGGGACTGACTTCATAGATGCACAGATGAGGAGGGATGCTGAGGAGCGACTCAGGTGTGGCTCTGTTTTTCTTCTGTACTGGAAGCTTGTTCATCAAAACCTTCTTCAACAACAGGCTAGTGTAATGCTGGTCAGTCACAACACTGAGGGGCAGCTTGTGAGATCTGTCACCAACAAACATTCAAAAACACTTCAAGTCGGTAATATTGCGAGATTCACCAGTCGGAGTACGAGACAGTGACCGGAGAGCTCCTAATGAAATCTGATACCAGTTCAAACCTGTATGAGTTGTTTGATGGAAGAAAAAAACTCTGCACATCGTGTGACCTGTGGCAAAAACAATTACTGGTGCAACTTTCTGACAAGGAGGAACTTATAAGATGGAACAAAAGGCTTTATTGTGGTTAACATGTGATCTCTTTTATAGAGCAGTTATCAGCGATTAATAATAATTTTTCAAAATCCAATTAGCAGATTTTTATCCTGTCTATTATGTAATAATGCCATTATACATGTTTGTAAACCACAACCAGTTATAAATGGTATAAGTCATTAAGTTTGATTTTAAAGGTCTGTCTTTGTCAATAAATAGATTTTGGTCCAAATTTTTGATATAGTTTTCACAACATGCAGCCCAAGATGTGTATTCATCATTGGGTTATACTGATCTATAAATCATTGGTATATAACATTTTAATTGTTAATAAAGCTATTACATTCATCTCAATTATGAAACAGTGGTTTACAGTTTTCTGACATAAAAATGTTTCCAATCAACATTTTACAGCTGATCCACACAACCACAAATGCAACAATTTTACTCAGTGTGTTGGTCTCATGACAAACGTCTGTTACAAACACACACTTCTGACTGCCACCAGTGTAAGTATTGTATCTCATGAACTTCTGCTGACACATTCTTGCTCAGTAATGAGCTGGATAGTTTGAAGCAATTATGTGTGCTTTCGAAAAACGTCGTTCATCATGAACACAGATTTCAAAGTGCGTCACTATGCTCTTTAAAGACAGACCAGAACTGCTTGTTTCCATTAGTTTGAGACTCTAATTGCTGGAAAACGCAGCATAAAAACACTAGAAACAGCCTTAAACTAAATGCCTCACCAATGAAAATTAAGAATCTCAGACTGTTGAGATAGGCCTGTGAGAGTGCATTTGATCGTAGGATATGTTTTTCTGCATTAGACAAATACTGTATCAGACTTTCAGTGGGTTTTTTTAATCCACTGCATCACCATCAGTGTGGACTACACAAATATACAGAGCAATGGACAACTACACACTGACAGGTTGTCATGTGGGAGGAAACTTGATGAAACTGATTATAAAACTTGTATTTAATCTGATGCTATATCTATAAAGGTGCCTTAATTTGCAGAATACTGTGATGGCGTCCTCTTGTTGTGCTATTCAATGAACAATCTCCCTCAGATTGTGACTGTTGTTGTTTGCATTCGTTATTTTCAATGCGATCACCAATCAGTCACTTATATGGCTGTGAGATGCAGTTTTATATTTGTCGTTTCGGACTCAGGAGACAAATAATAGGGATAGGGCTAATACAGAGACAACAAAGACATCATGGAGGACAGGTAATGCTCTCGCATTGATATCATGCCATTTGCCTGAGTGTTCATTTGCATAATAAATGCATAGCGAGAGGCAATGCACAGGAGAATTACATTCGCATTATCTTCTATCATCACAGTTGTATGTTTGCAGTGACACTGTATCACTAAATGTGATATACTGTGTGTCCTGTACACTAATCACTTGTCCGTACGATACAGCAGATGTGCACCACTCTGTCAAACTGTATTTTGCTCCGGCTCCATGTGCTAAATGTGCAAAGATTGTAGGCGTTGTCTCACTTCGATGAGGGCATGTAAATCTGCAGGGCAAAGCAAATAACTGGGCTGCAGGGTTGGAGGTTCACTCGGAGGAAAGTAGTTTTTGGTTATTTTTTAATATGCTAATTTGGTTGGTAATATTTGCCACTAGTGAACATTATAAGCTGATCTAGTAAGGGTCTTAAAGCTAGGCTTGATAATCCGAGAAAAGCTAGCAAGAGCAACTGATGTATCCCACCCATTCCCATCGCTGCTCTTATCGAAGCTGAGCCCCTAAAACACAAGAAGAAAGGCCTCTGTCTCTTGAATATAAACATTTGATAAACATTGATTTGGAGAATTTTATTCAATAACTGATGCTATAATGTTTTTAAATAACGCTTATTAATAAAATGATCTCAACATGTAAAATTGTTGGAATTCCCCTATAATATTCCAGCTGATATTATGCTTACGAGATACATTTGTATTCAGACTATCACAAACTAACTTGGGGACATGGGTTTGGCCCACAGCTGGTTTTTGCTCTGGGGGCGTCACACAAGGTTAATTCAGCCGGGACTTATATGGTCTTTGGTGTAAAGTCACTGTTTGATATTGTTGAGTGTAGTTGTCACCCTTTTTCTGATGTTGCATTTATAGTTACTGTGTCCACTGGCCAATTAAATCACTGAACCCTGATGTGGTTGTTGTAGTCTGTGCTATAACATATTTATCACTAACCAATATATGCGTTATATCTGAATGTTATTGTTGGTCATGGTTCATACTGATATTGTGCAGTTTACTTGTGTACTTTCAATGGTTTCCCAGTCGTTGTCAATGGAAGAACTGCAGCCTGTGTTTTGACAATCACTAATTCAAGAAGTGTCACATAACCCATTGTCCAGAGGCTCCTTTCATTTTGATTTAATTCAGTATTTAAACAACCATAAAGGATACCTGGGTGAGATTCAGGCTTTTAATCAGTGACTGGTGCAGTGGTGATATTCAAGATTTATCTTTGATCACCATAATCCACATCAAACAACTGGACTTGGCTATTTAAAGTGTTTCTCATAAGCTCTTGGTTACTTATGACTGTAGGAGGCTTCTCGGGGATGCGAAAGCTTATTTGCTTCAGGTTTGTCTGATGTTGTGGGACATAATGTGGAGAAGTCAGAGGGTTGATAGCAGAGGCAGATTCAGAGTCACAAACAAATCCACATCAGTGACCCTTGACCCTTGACCCTTAACCTTGATTCTGTGTTTGAGTCTCATGTTAACAGCTGCAGACGATTCCATAAACTGAATTAAATTCCCAATGAAGCAGCTATGTGTCATCGCAGCATTTTTATGAATGACATTTACTATATCTTTTTCTATCACAAAGCCAAAAATGCTTTAGGGATTAAGGAATCCTGGTGTCATTTGATTGAAAAGTTGTGGACACAGTGGAACAAAATGATCATGGCGGCATAAAATGGAGCTTCGCAAATTCTTTTCCCCCATTTAGGGAGATGCCATGAGTAATCATCTGACACCCTTTGGTTTCAGCCGGAATATGACTGACAGCAGATATGTGATGCTCATTTGTTTCAGACCAACAAAACACATGCACATATGCAGTAAATATAGAACATTCCTGCACAGAGGGAGCATATTGTGGTGGGATGGCCTGTTTGAAACAAATACTTATTTGTATGTTTATGGAGGAAGTGTGACTTTAAAGGAATTCCACCGCAGTGGAGCATATTTGTTAGCATAGCATGAAGAACAGGGGGAAACAGCCAGGCTATGTCCATGGGTTGTAATTAATAATTATATAGTAAAAGAATATCANTTGTTTATCTGTTATCGACCAGCACAAATTCACGCTTTCATGTTCTAGCTCACAAGCTAACTTGCTGATGGCCAAGCTGTACAGACACTGTATAAATCTCTTCATCCACCTCTGTTACATAATGTTACATAGGTTAAATTATTGAAATGAATGGTCTTTTTTTGTAAACTTTTCTCAACAAAGTTACAAAGTGCTTCATAGACAGAAAAAAATGGAGATTAAAAGAATGGTAATCATTACAAGTGATAGGGAAACCTCAGAGCCCATTAGCTATTGTTCATTTGCCTCTGGGGGCAACGGACAATGTTTAGGGTCAAAGGAGCCTCAAAGTGGAGTCCAGGGACCCCAAAGAGTCCTTCGGGGTTTGCAGGGGGGCAAAAAAATGGGAAATCATTTATTTTCATCATACTGTAACAGAATGACTGTTTGGTCCTGAATTTCATACACTTCCTGTAATAAAACATCAAAAAGCAAAAAATCGTGTCAAATGGGGGTGCTTGGTCTAGTTTGTGTCAGTTAAGGGGTTCTTGAATTGCAAAAGTATGAGAACCACTGGTCCAGACAATCCCAGTCAAGGCTCACCCTACTGTTCACTGTGCACTGTTTACAGTTTGAATAGTTTCTTTTGTCACATGAGTCGACAAGTTCTCCACATAAAACACACCATCTGTGATACTTTTTGTAAATGTTTTAGATCCAGAGGACATATATCTCTATTAACAGCTATCTGCATATGAATAAAGATAAAATTAAAAGTTGATAGCCAATGCATTTTTTGGTCAATGTGTTCTGCCTCCTATATGTTCTCCACATGTACTCTGGGCAACCAGAGCCGGCTCTAATGTTAATGATCAAACTAGAAACAGAAACCAGAAGATATCCAGCCCCAAATCTACAGATTCTGTATAAAGAAATTAAATTAAGAAACTTAACCCTGTTGAAGTTCTTAAAACAGAAGTGAATAAAATGAAATCACACACAAAAACAGAGAATATACCAAACATTAGTTAAAGCTTTTTGATAAAAATTTAATAAGAAAAGATTTTAAAGTTAAGGCTGTTGCTGTCTGATCTTAAAGGGTCGACTGCTCCATAGTTGCAGGGCTCAGACCCCTGAGTTTAAAAGTTATTGAAAGACTCTTAAAATCAATCCTAAATTGAACTGGCAGCCAATGAAGGGAGGCAAGGATTGGAGAGATATGAGCCCAATACGCTGCGGATTGACTGGTTCATGTAAATAGTGCATTGCAGTAGTGAAAATACAAAGTT